TATATACACTTACTATATATGTAACTAAAAAATGAAAAACGCAAGAAATTGCCAAATTTTTAAAGGAGATATCTCACAAAAAAGAAAAACATTGCTTAAATCCTAGATGGATATAAAAATCTCCAGACCCTCCCCCTCCTATACCACATTTTACATGCAAACATGAATACCTACCTTAAAAGAAAAGCAATTACATTTCAAATTACAAAGCAACACATGACAATAAAAAACGCCGAAACACAGAAATTAAAACAAGGTTTATTGTTTTGCATAAAACAAGGAAACGACAACAACAACACCAAAACGAACCTCATTACAACAAGCCAGCCACGGTACATTTAACAATTCCCACACCAGCCTAAATCGAAATTACAAAAAAAAACAACTTAAAACATGCAAATTATACCCGAACACACACACACGTATTTTACCCACACAAAGGATTGTTACTTAATTTGTTTAAAAAAAGTGCAAATTCTTTAAAAATGGCAAAATAAATGAGTTCATATCAAACAAAAAACACCATAAAACATTCAGTGGCTTTATATAATGAAATATGTTAATACCATTAAAATAACCCCACTATGATCCTATTCTATGTGGACACCGAGACACATGTCCACACAGACACTTGAAAAAAAAAACACAAAATCTATTCAAAAACTGTTAATGCTTTAAATGTGTGCTTGCCGAAAAATCAACATAAACAATTAAAAAAAGAAATAAACAAAACAATGGATATAAAAGAATTTTGCTCAAGAATAAATAACAAATGAAAAAAAAATGTTGTTAAAAAAAAAACCAAAATTTATATATGGATATATATTAAAAAAAAGGAACAAGAAAACACATCCATAATGTTCAATATTTCAAGTTGTTAATACTAAATGTCTATGTATTATAACTATTAATATACTATACAAGAAAAAAATAAACAATGAAAAATTAAAAGAACAGAAAAAAAATAATTATTTTGTTTTATTTTATTTCTCACACACAAAAAGCAAATTTTAGGCAATGAAAGTCAAATTTTAAATCTCTTTTTTATATTCCGCATAACAAACTGTAGAATTGTTCTTAAAAATAAAAAGGAATCTGCAATTCAGGCTAGACCGACATATTCTGTTTTTATATCACATCCTAGAAACAATGCACAGATTTAAAAGCTCTATATTAACCCAATCATAGTGGACACATTTGCTTGCAATTTTTATACCGTCCGCCATATGGCTACAGATGGTATATATCAAGCGATACGACCAAAAAGTGCCTCATGGTAATAACGATTTTGGACCCCAGGTCCCCTTAGACTAAATCCATCTCTGCACACATGGAGTCTAGAAAATGGACAATATCAGTACTTCCAATATGGCGCCCAACGTGGGACTCGTTCCCACGAATGTGATATTGGGAGAATCTTATATTACAGACGGATCTGAATATTATCATTAATAGTTGGCTATTTTGGCGTACACAACAGTATGGCGCCCAACATGGTACCCGTTCCCACTATCCAGAGATAGACTATCAATCTCGTGCCGTACAGACGCAGCTGAATATTATCATATGGCTGAATGTTATCATAGATAGTTGGAGCACTGTGGGATACACAACAATATGGCGCCCAATGCGGGATTTATTCCCACAAACGTGAGGTTGAATATTATCATAAATAGTTGGCGTATTGTATATTGCGCCCAACGTGGTGACCGTTTCCCCGATTCTGAGATTGATAATATTTACCTACGTGGTATAGTATCATATATAGTACATGCATTATGGGGTACACAACAATATGGCGCCCAACGTGAACGAATGTGAGATTGATTGAGAGTCTCATACTCTTTATACTGAGCTGAATATTATAAATAGTCGGCACATTGTGGCGTACACAACAGTATGGCGCTCAACGTGGTGTGCGTTTCCACTTTCCTGAAATTGACAGTCTCTTGCCCTACAGACAGAGCTGAACACCATCATATGGCACGTATTATTATAGTACGTGCATTATAGGGTACTCAACAGTGTGGCACCCAACGTAGGGTTATGATCCTCTGAGCTGCACTTTATCATATGTCTTAATATCATATATCATATTATAAATCAAATCTCTGAATATTATCATAAATAGTTGGCGCAATATGGGATATACAACAAAATGGCGCCCAACATGAACGAACCTGAGATTGAGAGTATCACACTCTACACACGGAGCTGAATCTTACCATAAATAGTTGGCGCATCGTATACCACGATGCGTATGCGTAGTATGGCGTCCAACGTGATGCCTGTTGAACATTATTATATGTCTGGATATTATCATAAATAGTTGTCGCATTATGGTATACACAACAGTATGGCGCCCAACGTGATGCCTGTTCCCACGATCGGGGGATTGACAGTCTCATACTCTACAGACATAGCTAAACATCATCATATGGCTGATTATTATCATAAATAGTGGGCGTATTATGGGGTACACAACAATATGGCACCCAACGTAGGGCTCGTTCTCACGAACGTGGGATTGACAGTCTCATACTCTACAGACAGAGCTGAACATCACCATATGTGAATGTTATATGAATGTTATCATAAATAGTAGGCGCATTATGGGGTACACAACACTGCGGCGCCCAACATAGGGCCACGATCATGAGATTGAGTCTCTTGTTCTCAGACGGAGCTGAATTATCATGTGACTGAATATTATGTTGGCGCATTGTTAGGTCTCTTCGGACGAAATCCGTTTCAAGACATTTGGAGTCGATCTAGGGGAGGGAGAAGGGAGTTTGCGATTTGGTCAAAACTTGGTAGATGATAATATTCTTATCGAACATAGATTGAGTTCAAATTTTGTGCAAACTTTGCAAATCCTAATATTTTTATCAGTGCTAAGTCATGTGGGACAATGGAAAATATCGGTCCACTCCTTTAAGTACCATTCCCATAAAGGGTCAAAATTTTGAATATTTAGAACTCTTATAAAATGTAAAATAAATGTCCGATTGTCTTCAAATTTCGCATATCTCAATATTTCTGTTAACAAAATATTAGGTGTGAACCTTATGGTACCTCCTCCACATGGTACGCCCTTCTTTTGATAGCTCCTCCAAAATGGGTCAACATTTTAGACCCCACAAAAATTTTATGCCAATTTAGCCTTGTTCGTCTGTAAAAATCACTCTAGCTTCCGAACGAATTGAAGTAGGTTGTTAAAATTTTACTCAAATGTATATTATGTCTGCAGAACTTTTGTTATTGTCAATGGGCCAAGTAGGTCCACGTTTTGGTTTAGTCCCACATATTGGTACCTCCCTATTTTCGGTATTTTGGCGATTTAAGCGACATTATTCATCGGAAATGTTTCAAATTTGGTATTTTAAGTTCGTAACGGATACTACAGCCTACGACAGAAAATTGTCTGTGCAGGTCCACGCCTTCGTATAGCCCCCATATAACGACTCCTCCGGATATTCGGTATTTTGATGATTTTAGCGACATTATTCACCGGGATTGTTTCAAATTTGGTATTTGAAGTTCGTAATGGATACTACAGCCGTTGACAGAAAATTGTCTGTGCAGGTCCACGTTTTGGTATATCCCCCATATAATAGTACCTCCGCCCTATATTCGGTATTTTGATGATTTTAGCGACATTATTCACCGGGATTGTTTCAAATTTGGTATTTGAAGTTCGTAATGGATACTACAGCCGTTGACAGAAAATTGTCTGTGCAGGTCCACGTTTTGGTATATCCCCCATATAATAGTACCTCCGCCCTATATTCGGTGTTTTAATGATGTTAGCGACATTATTCACCGGAATTGTTTCAAATTTGATATTTGAAGTTCCAAAGGGATAGTAAAGCCTAAGATAGAAAATTTACTGTGCAGGTCCACGTCTTCGTATAGCTCCCATATAACAGTACCTCCCTATATTCGGTATTTTGATGATTTTAGCGACATTACCAGGAATTGTTTCAAATTTGGTATTTGAAGTTCGTAATAAATACTACAGTCGTTGACAGAAAATTGTCTGTGCAGGTCCACGTCTTCGTATAGCCCCCATATTACGGTACCTCCCAATATTCGGTATTTTGATGATTTTATCGTTGTTCCACGGAATTGTTTAAAATTAGGTATTTAGAATTCATAATGGGATCTTCTTCCAGGTCTTCAGTACCTCCATATATTCGATATTTTGACGAGTTTATGTACAATACCCACCGAAAAAGTTTGAGATGTCGTATTTCAAGTTCGTAATGGATGCTACAGCCTGTGATAGAAAATTGTCTATGCTGGACCCGGTCTTCGCACAGCTCCGATATAATGATACCTCCCTATATACGACATTTTGATGATTTTTTTAAGTTTTCGAATTGGAATATGGTAATGGCTTATGGAAAACAATGCCACGTCGTATAGACTCCAATAAAACGGCTATATTCGGTATTTTTAAAATTTTAACAGAATTTTTCAAGGATTTTATTTTTTTGAAAATTTCGAAACTCGTTCCAAATGGTGGAGGGTATTCAAAGTTCGGCCCGGCCGGAATTACTGCTTTTTAACTTGTTATATTTATATCAGACTTAGGTCAGATGGCAAATGGACAATATTGACCCACCCCCTCGGAACCTTTCCCAGATAGGGTCAACAGTTTGAATAATCCTGACGCAAGTTAAAATATATTTCAATAAGAGGACAATAGGCAAATTGGGTTAATCCACACTCAAAGCATGATTTTACTGAAAATACCTAGGTCTGAAAGTGGTGCTTCCGTAGGAATAGTGCGAACTCCATCGTGGTTTCATAAAATGGACAGACGCTCAGACATAGCTATATATACTTTTTGGAGCATCGGACAACAATTTCGAGGTGTTGCAAACAGAATGATAAATTTATACATTCTCCATTTTTATGATGAAGGGAATAAAACATAAACATTTCACATTCATTTCCAATCATTAGGAAAATATTTTTCTGCAAAGAATTCCAAATTTTGAGTTTTTTTACATAAGTACATAAATATTTTATTGTATTTACTTTTTTTAAAAATATAATGCGCATGTATCTGGATAATACAAAAAAGAGATACGACTTAGCTAATTATGTTATACAAATATTAAACAATGCATAGAAATTTTATGAATTACCATACCATTGAATTGCATTAAATTTACGACTATAAAATATATAAACTGGGCTTCTTGATAAAACGAATGCGTCAAAAAATACCGGTGAGGTTATGTTATTAACGCTGGTTTTTTTTTATTCTGTCCCTCATTTTTGAGGTTACGATACTATAAATGGTTAATTTCTGAAACCAATTTTGGCAAGCAAAACAAAAATAAAACACAATACACATAAACTTATAAATAAGCTCAATTTATGTATGTACTGAGATGTGATACGACAAATTTATGATATTTAGAATATCATGGCAAAAATAAGTTGTGAAACGATGCCGTTTCGAATACTTGTTCCATAAAAAATAATATTATTAATACTAAACATATAAACAACATGTAGTTTGTGTTGAGAAACAACGATAACTTGGTTACAAATAGAACGAACTCATGTTAACATTGACAAGGTTTGTGACATTGCGTTATGATGTGGAGACAACTGGTATGCATGGATTTTTATGATTTACTGTGGGGGACCCCATGCTCTTAACAGTGTCAGGGCTTTATTGAAATAGGCACACCACTCCTCACGTTCTTCCTTGGTATCGGCCGACAACAAATATCTCACTGTGGTTGTACGACCATTTGGCACAATCACCAAAGACTCTTGATCTGTGTCTCGTGCCGGCCTTTGACACTCCAGCAACATGGTGTTGAGGCGAGCACAAATATCCCGCGGCGCTGTATTGACTTTTTGCGATGAACATGTATACAAATCAATTGAGCCCATGGGAGCCTTTTTCTTTTCATCATCAGGATATTTCCAATAATTCAACATGGTACCATTCAAATGACACCAGCGCCGGTGCCAAGCACCAAAACCGGAAATATCTTCAAACATGGTGAGGAAACCTTTATATTCCACGGATACTGAAAGCTCACAGTTGACCTTCATGTGAACCACACCCTCCAGCGGACTTACACCCAAGACTTGTGTCAATGTCCACGAGGTCCTTTGTATCTCTCGCAATGAGAATATCGCAAAACCGTATTGTACCAAGGCAGGAGTACGTACTGCATGGGGACCAGCTGGACTCTGGACTGGTGGCATAACCAAACGATTATCGGATCCTTTCTTTTTGGGTGTTTTTGCTCCAGATTTTTTATTCAAATTTATGTGGTATTTTACTTCATGCGGTAGAACTTCACGCTGGGCAGTCATACCATAAATTTCCAGGGTTACTCTAAAATCAGCATAGACATTATTCAATTGCAAGACGTCGGGGAATTTAACGGCCAAAAGCCCGGGTAACGTGGGCACTGTCTTGGTGGCCAGAACATGTTCATTGTATTTGAGCAAGCAGACAAGATGATGGCCAGATATGGTATCAGCTGCCAGTTTGCGTATGTAATCTTGTCTCAGGGGAATAGTGATTTCTTTGACTGTGAGACGGCCCTTTTCACGAGGTGCTCCCAAGGGGCGTAAAGTCTTTTCAACACGCAAACGTTGTACCTCATCCAAACAAGCCTGGCGACGATGGGCTGGAAAAATATGGAAGTGGGAAGTTAATAAAAATTAGATTTTAAATATTTAATTGGTTACTCACTTGCCACCAAGAGATGTCGTTCACCTTCCACTGATTCTGTGGATCCGGAGAACTCAATTGTGGCTGCACACAAATTCAAAGCCTGGCTTGTCTGCGCGATAACCTGCTGCTGTTTACAAACTTCTTCCAAAAGTTTCTTGATTTTTTCCTGCACCAAATGAGAGTCATCTTGCTCGGCCTCAGATTGACTTTCTTCATCACTTTCTTCGGTCGGTTCATGTACAAAATGCACTTGTTCTCCAACACCTTTAGTTTCTAGCTTTTCCATGGCGGAACGCAAAACTTGTTGTTCGCGGCATATTTTTCGTATCGGTGTTGAATTAGCACTCTGTAAAAGAAAAGGAGAATATGTTGGGTTGTTAAAAAGACTAGTTTGGAGTGGTTGAAAGGTGAAGTTATTTTGGGAAGCCAAGACGCAAACCATTAATTAAGTAAAGGTGGGAACAGTGTTGGATAAACTGAATGGTGAAATTACAACAAAACTATTCACAAAAGTGATGAGAACAGTGTTGTAAGAATGTGTGGTGAACCTAGCAATGTACTGGTCGTTTGGAGGTGAGGGTGAATTGTTTTTTGAATCGTTAATATTTTGTGGCGAATATTATGTTAGAGTGGCTATGTTCGAGGCACATGAAACATTTTTACAACAATTTTACAGCGAGATTTGAAAATATTACCACAAAGGACTGGAACAGAAAGAAAATAGGGTCAGAAGACCTAAAGAGTTGCTTCGCTTGGCCGAAAGTGTTGAATGCCGAGAGGTCGGCTGAAAATGTACATCTTCGGTTGGCCACCAGAACTCAAGCGCCGGCCATGGTGATGGTGTGAACCGTCATAACAGCGCTCTCCGCTCGTATTAATCGACCGTGGCATCAGAATAAATGCCGAATATTATCGCGAAAATATTCTGGAGGGTGTATTAAAGCCTTGGGCACGCAAAAAATTTGGCCGCAGACCTGGGACATTCCAACAGGACTAAGCACCATCGCACTCAGCACGCGCCACCCTAGAATGGTTACAAAATGGGGTTCCTCGCTTCATTTCCAGCGCACAATGGCCACCAAAATCTCCGGATTTTGGAAAACAAGGTTGGCACTAAAAAATACCAAAGTGTCGATTACCTCAAGCAATCGCTTCGCCGGAAATGGTCCAAAATACCGCAGAGCAATATTCGGGCAGCGTGTGACATGTTTTAATTGGCCGTTTGAAGCCCATAATTCGTGCCAAAGGCGATCAATTCAAAAATTCTAAAATTGAATGCTATTTCCGACATTTTTTGCTTTCATTCAATAAAATTAAAAAATGTAAAAATTTTGGCTTTTAACTTGGTTGCAGATTTTTATCTCACCCTATATGGGAGCTATATCTACGAAATTTCATCTGGATCGGACAATAAATGTGACCTGTACTTTGTTTACAAAAATACATGAACAGAAGAATGGACGGACGGACATGCATGAATCGACTCAGAATGTGATTCTATGGAGATCATCAACAGAATCTATGGGTCTATCTCGTCTCATTTTGCCTGTTACAAACAAATGCACAAAGACATAATATCCTGAACACCTTGTGGTGTAGGGTATAAAAACGATTGATAAGTGTTAACACACCCCCTCAAAGTCACTAATTTGTATCCATATATCCGATCAATTCCAATAAAATGAAAATTCAACTTGGGGAATATAAATGTGCTTAGATTAATTCCTTCGATCGTTTTGTCCTGTCAATTTGCAATTCAGGATCTGAGTTAACATTAATCTGGGTGTTAGTACAGCGCCCGTAAAAAAAGAATTGTTACTCATGGCACTTTTATTCCAAACTAAGGATTTCAGGCACAGAATGCACTTGACCGGATCACATTCTGGTAAAAATTAATTGTCTTTTACAAATCGTTTTAAATTTAATTTTTGCCTAGTCTGTTAAGGCGGAGATCATTTTTTTTTTTTTTTGGTAGATTTTCCAAATTCTAAATATTCCACCAAAAGGGGAGGTTTGTGTCTTTACCTTCAACCTGAAGAAATTCTTGGGAACTGTCTGACAAAAATTCGAAAACTTACATTTGCACTTTGTTGGCGACGATAAAAGCTGACCGTATGCACCAGTGTTACAACATTTTCATTTTCCTTATTTATGCTTAATTCCGATTTCACTGGATGCATATAGGATGCACCACCATCAGGGCCTCCATTGTCATTTTCCACATTCATGGCATTATGTTGGTCATCAGAATGCTCCTCATGTATTGTTTGATATGTACCCTGTCTGTTGGGTGTATTTGCCTTGCGGAAACTAAAACTGTTTGAGGCAGTTGTTCCTTTGCTCTAAAAAAAAATCAAATATAAATTAAAATCATATTTCAATTTAATTTAAAAAATCCATGAAACTTACCCCTCTTGACAGGCGGCTATTATTTTCATCATCTTCTTCGTCTTGTGTTATATCATCATCACCATCTTCATTATCTTCCAAGGCTTCATCCAAATAATCATCCATACCCATTGATGCTGCCGAGGAATTTAACGATGAATCACGGGTATTATCTTCAAAGTATTCATCCTTATCGGCATATCTAACTTCCTGTAAGATAAAAACACACACACAAGGATGAGCATAACAATAAGGGTTGTTTCCATTTAATTACTTACCTTGACATGGGTCGTTTGTTTATCATTCTTTTGCACAACTTGCATTATTTCACGTCCTAAACTACCATTGCAAATACCAACACTGCTATCTTCATTTTCAGTTTCCATATAACTAATGGGGTGCCAAACGGTAGGGAGAGATAACATAAAAAGCCATTGCAGTTTGGATTAATGGGAAATGGGGGGAAACAAAAAAAACAAATAAAAACCAATCAATTAAAAACAAAAATTCACACAAAAAAAAAATCAATTCAATTTGACGACCACAAAAAATGGACAATATAACAAACATTTATTTCAAAATGGTTTATAAATATTTAAAGCTATCAATAAATAGTTTAAATAAATATGTATGTGTGCATAAATAAATAAATAAATAACTGTTGTACTTATAAACTAATTTGGTAAATTGGTGAGCAAAAGCCTATATTCTTTGTATTCATAACATAATCAAATACTTGCGCGCATTTTGTTACGTTTTTGTCACTGACTAATCGAGACATAAACAGAATAATAAAAATGAATAGAATTTTTCTTCGCACCTGTCTTCGTTGTCTTCATCGTGACGAGCAGCGGCGTCTTGGCCACGCAATGGTTCCAGCGAGGCCCTCATTTCATCGGCCGTGCTGAGAGCCGAGGCCGTAGCAGCAGTACAATAATTATTTTCATTATCCGAAAGAGATTCGTTGGACTCAAGATCAGATAAGGCGGGATATAGACGATTTGTGCGTACCCGTTTGCTGTCTTCTCCCACGCCATCAATAGCATCACCGGCTGAAAGAGAAGAAAATGTAATTGTATGTGTGAAAGTTAAAGGGAGTTGGATGTTTATTTCGCTTTCTTCTAGCCTTTATTTTTTTAAACATTGAACCCTATGTGGGTGAGTTGTTATCAAAATAAATGGTCAGATCTCTGCAATTTTTATGACAAATCTTGTGTTGATGGAAATATTGAGATATGCCAACACTGAATGTAATCGAAAGTTAATTTCTTATGTTATGAGCTTCATTGATATTCAAAATTTTAAGCCTTTGTGGCGGATGTACCAGAAGGAGTGGATCGATATATCCCATCTTCACACCAGACTTTGGGCTAATAAAAATATTGTGATGTGTGTGATTTGATGTCAATCGGACTCTTACATCACATTTTATAAGAGTTATAATTATTCAAAATTTCAACCCTTTGTGGGGGAGGTACCAGAAGGAATGGTCCGATCTCTACCATCTTTATAACAGATATTGTCTTGATAGAAATATTGAGGTGTGCCAAATCTGAATGGAATCGGACATTATTTTAGATTTTTAAAAGTTTCAAGGATAGACAAATTTTTGAAACTTTGTGGGGGATGTACCAGAAGTAGTGGACCGATATATTAAATCTTCACACCAGACCTTGGTTTACTTGAAATAAAGGGATGTGCTAGATATTAAGAGAACCAGATGCTTATTTCGGATATTATAATCGTTTTGGTTACTCAAAACTTTGATCCTTTGTGGGGGAGGTACCAGAAGGAATGGTCCGATCTCCACAATCTTTATAACAGATATTGTGCTCATAGAAATATTGAGAAGGGCAAGTCTGAATGGAATCGGTTGTTAATTTCGCGTTTTATAAGTTTCATAGATATTCAAAATTTTGACCCCTTGTGGAGGTTGTACCAGAAGGAGTGGACCGATATTGCCAATCTCCCAACACGATCTAATTTTGATAATAATATTACGATGTTCAAAGTTTTGATTAAATCGGATACTCCCTTCGAGAGTTATCGTTCACACCAGCCAACCAGACAGACGGACGGACTGACATCGCTAGATCAACTCCAAATGTAGTGAAATAGATTTGGTTCAAAGAGACCTAGGGTCTAAAAACATTATTTCACACATTTGAGGCACTTTTTGGGCCTATTAAATGATATATAACCTCTGTAGCCATAGAGCTGAGCGTATAATTATAAAAGATTGGACCAAGAGTTACAAAATAAAATCTTAAACATCATTATCGGTTGCTGGGGTTTCTTGGAGTTTGAGAAGTCATTACCTTCAATTAATTTTCTTTTAATGTCAATAAAGTATTGCAAATCTTTCATTTTAAAATTTAGGATTTTCAACTTACGTGATCTTCTTTTCGTGGTTTGCTGATTGCCACCCGTTGGCATTGGAGGTGGTGGTGGCGGAGCATGTGGCCTGGATGATGATGATGTGATTAGGGAAGCTGCAGCTGCCTTAACTTGGGCCTGACGAGCCAATTCCTTGAGTTCCTGATCCTTTGACGATGTCTGTTGTTGCTGCTGCTGTTGTTGTGAGAAAATTTCCTTTTGTTTATTGAAACGATTGGCTAGCAATTGCATTTCTTCTTCACGTTGTTTACGTATGTCTTCTTTAATCTTATTCTCCGATTGAGTAGAGCCAAAAATGGCAGCTACTTTGTCACGTAATTTACTTTCAGGTTTAGTTTTCACTAAGACGGGAGGATTAGTTGTTGCTGCTGTTGTACTACTTGCAGCTGTCGCGGAGGTTGTAACTAAATGAAGAGTGAGGTAAAGATTATGATTAGTGTGTGTGCATTTCAGGTAAGAAATTCTAAGAAACGTCAATAAAATCGCGGATTAGTGTCTTTAGCTTAAATCCCAGAATTGTTTCAAAAATCCTTAAGTTTTACAACATTTCCAGAAAATTTGAGAATGTTTTGTTTTCGCGTTTTCAACAATTTCTAGGAAATATTCCTTTATGAGTAGGTATTTAGGCATGGATTTACAACTTATTTTTACAAAAAGCCTGGATGGTTGATTTCCCTCCCTTCCCTTACAATAACTTTAGACAATATAACATCCTACTCTAGATAATTTAAAACATATTTGAATTTCGTTTAAAAAAAGTACTTACCTTTGGAATGTTGTTCCTCCTTTTTATTGTGGGAATCCTGTAAAATTTTACTAATGGGAGGTGCCATACCAAAAGCAGCCTTTGGCACCAAGGCTTCTCCCTTATTCTTTTCGAAAAGTTTCATACGCTCTTTGAGCGACAACTCAGTGGGATCTTTTTGAGGTTTCTGTTGTTGTTGCTGCTGATTGGCCTGGGCCTCGAAAATTGCTGCTCTTCCCGACACTAAGCCCGCCTTAACGGTGGGCACTTTTTTCTCTGCAACTGGAGGTTTATTTTCTGCCTTATTGCTGGTCAGAGCATTAAATTTAGTTGTGTCCAATTTTCCCACATTACGTCGTTCTTCGGTTGCCTTTGGAACAGCAGTGCTTTGTAGTTCCTCGTCCATCATCATTTCTTCATCTTGTTTAAAATCATACGATACCTTGACGGTCGATGACTCACGTCTCTGGAAACCTTGGGCCTCTAATGAATTCAAAACCTTAGGATCCCATTTCAGTTGTTTGGTTTTCTGTTCCTTATCTTTGGGAGATTTTGGAGCAAGATTTTTGGGAGATTTGGGGGCAGGGTTTTTAGGTGATTTTGGTGCTGGCTGGGCTTTGGGAGATTTTGGTGCCTGCAGAGCCTTGGGAGATTTTGGTGGCTGTTGGGCCTTTGGAGACTTGGGCGCCTGGTCTTTGGGTGGTTGTGGTGCTTGTCCTTTAACATGATGACCCTCTGGCCTCAAGCGGCCTCTACTTGGCAAATCGGGTTTTGGTGGTGGTACTTTTGTCACCTCTGTTGTGGGAGTCACTACATGATGTGAGGTGTCATCTTCCCATTGATTGATGGTGCTGGCCAAGGCAGCCAATTTGCCAAATCGTTGCTTGGGTTTGTGCAATTGATTGTTCATATCGATTTCGTCTTTATTGTCGGCATGGAAATTGGCCTCGGTACGATGTATGGGAGATGATAAATCATCCTTGTCAGAATATAGAGCACCGAGGCGTTGCAGGCGATTACGTGAGGTATCACGAATTTTAACAGCTGGCTCATTGACGACTGTCCTTTGGGTGCCTTCGGAAGTTCCAATGTTGCCCAACTTCGCCATATGTTTGCTGTAATCTTCATCGTCGGTTATTTCTTGTTCCTCTACTTGGACTTGGACCTGAAAGAATATGAAAAAAAAAATAGTTTTACAGAACGTTTTTACAAAAATTTCCCTAAAAACCCTCATTGGGGGATAGAAGTTTGACAAAAAGCTTTGGAAATTTGAAAATGGTTATTTTGGAATTTTCTTAGGAATAGAACTCAAAATTAATAATGGAACTGACAGATATCATATCCCAATAACATCAACATATTTAAGAAGTTTACGGAACGGAATCGTTGATCAATTCCTCAGACGTTGTTTTCTGCATTTTTCTTTGCATTTCGTTTTTCATAACCTCAAGTCTAGCTTCATCACTTTACTTACCTCAACATTTTTGTCGGTCATAATGTTAATTTCTATGCCCAAATCCATATTTTCTTTATCGACAGCAGAAAATTGTCTCAAAACCTTACGTGGCGATACATTTGAAGATTTATTTTGGGAATTTGATGCCATTGTTTCCACAGATTTCTCCACGACATGCAATTTATTTACAGTGCCTTCACCACCACTAGCAGTCGACGACGATGTGTTTGCTGAAGAATGCAAGGGCAGCTGTTGTTTTTGTTGCGAAGCCAACGCCATTGTTGTTGTACAAGCGGCGCCGACGCCGCTGCCTGTACTAATTGTTGAAGCCATTGACGAAGACGAGGTGTTTGCATCACCACAAGGAAATTTACTGGCATCTGTGCTGCAAATGCCCAAGGCACGGCTGCGTTGTTCTGCCTTTTCAAGCATGCGCTGTGGGAAAATGGAAAAGCATACAATTATTTATATCCTTCCAAATATTCCTATCACAAATTATTCCGTGGAATCTTAGTATGAAATCCTCTGCTTCTTCTTACCTGCGTAAAAGGATCCATTTTTCATTTGTTTGCTTTGATTATTTTCTTGAAAATATTCACTTTGTCAAGTTTGTTTTCACTTTTACTATATCCTTTTTTTTAATTTGTAACTAAATTGAAGTTCTGGAATTCTTTGAATCCGTCAGAATAATAATTTTCACAATTTCAGATGCCTTATTCTCCAGGAGATCCTTTTTCCTTTGTAGATTTGTAGACAATGACAATTGGTCAAGCGCCAGCGACTAGTAAACAGTTGAAGAAAATTTCAAAATGTTGTTGTGCAAGAAAGCCGCTTGGGCGCCTTTGATATTTGTGTTTATTTGCCGCTTGGTGTCTACATGCAGGGTTGTATTTCGTTGACTACTTCATATGATATGTTGTACAACTGAAAAACAATGAGGGGAAAGCTATCATTTCATAGTGATAAGCAAACTTTATATTTCTCCGTATTGTTCACCCATTAAGAAGTGTCAGGAGACGCATTGAATAATTGATTTATTTGCCGTTGGGTAGCTTCACGTTGGATTGTATTTGGTTTTCTCTTTCATAAGATATGCTGTACAATTTGACAAACGTTAAGCAAGAGCTATCATTTCATTGTGATTGGTAACTTTTTACCGCAATGTATCAAATACAGCTCAGAAATATCTTTGCCAAATTTTATCAAGATCGGTTCAGATTTGGATATAGCTCCCTTATATATCAAATGGGCAATACAAGTCCGAATTTAAAAGATACAAATGCTTCGACATATTTAGTCTTTTCAACTTTAAATTTTAATTATAATCATATAATCATGTATGATTGAATTCTCCCTACAAACTTTTAATTGCTATGTGGAGCTCTAACAAATTAGCAAAGTGGTGTAGGGTATCATAAATTATTTGACATTTCGTATTCAGAGACATTAAATCAATACCAAATATCCCCAATATCTAGTTGGTGGAATTTGTGGTCCAAGGTCCAATTGGACCTACCAATACCACTAATTGAAGTGGAAGTGTAATACTAAGAAAGTATATTAAGTTAAGTGTTAACAAAAGAAATATATTCAATACAGTGCATTATCTTCATCTGAGTTAATGTATAATCCGTATTGAATCCGTGCCGTGTATACCCGGATCTGCAAGCACAGAAACTTCACCGATTCCCCGTATTCCCAAACTCTTATTTTTTGTGTACTAAGAGACTTTTGTGGGTTTGTTCTACTACCTTTGACACCTTGATACAAATCGATTTGTAAATGTGTTAAATCTATATTTTCCAAAATTAAAATTTTATTAGGTTCTTATATAAATTATCGCTTGTTTTGTTTTTCCATTTTAGATTGTTCCATTATGTCTAGATTTCGACAATGCTGCATCCCTGGGTGCGAGAACTCTCTCATTAGATTAAATTTTGCCCCCAGGAAATAATTTTCAAGCATCCACTCCCTGGACACTGTGTGGATTCAGAATTAATAACCAACATACATGCTTCTTCTTTTTCTAGACGTTCCCAACATACGTACTTGTTTGACGTTTGCTTTGTCAACAAAACAAAACAAACACACACCAACCAATTCACATCACAATCACATCTGAACGAGCTGAACGAGACATGCACATATAAGGTGATGTTTTGGAGGAAAATGTGCAACTTTATATCTTAAATCAATGAATTGTAGAAAATCCGGGAAAATATTTGCATTCAATAGAAAACATTTACAGCTTTTGACATCACGATGGAGGAGCAGCGCGAAAGTAAAGCAAGCCTGTTTTGGAATTGCTCGACAGCTCTAAAGCCAGAAACCCATGTTCATAAACTATTGAAATCCTATTATATGTAAGAATTTAAAGTACTTCTACCTAATTCTAAGTGTTAATTTTTATTAAATCCTTTTCCAAATAGGAATATGTGCCGTAAACTTGTTAGAAACACCATACAAATACCAAAGGAAAAGTTTGCCAGCACGCAAATGTGTTCCCACTGCGGCCTGTTTTGGAGCGAAAGTGAATTTCGCATGAAACTGAAGTCTCAGCATGTAACAGTGAAAGGAAAGACAAAACGGCTTATTGAGAAGCTGCAAAAGTCAAAGGAACCCGACCAAAAGGATTTACTTACCGGGAAACAAAGAAAACGCGCCAAATGGTTGCAGAAGAGAGCTACCCAACATATAGAAATTAAATGTGATCAATGTCAACATAAATCCATTGTCAAATTGGATAAACCCAAAAAGAAAGCAAAGAAAGTGGACGATGTTGCAGATGTCCAACAAGAAGCCATTGCCTTGGATGAAAATGGGCCAAAATCCAAGCCAAAGAAGAAAAAGAAAAACAAAGATAAGGTGGCTGGCTTGAAAATACCTCTAGACAAACAACAAGAAAAGCCATTGCAACAACAAAATACCAATAAACCAAAAACACCCCAAAAGGAAAAACCACCAACAATGACATCGCCATGTCCAGCACCGACTGCACAAACTCCAAAGGTAGCCCAACAGCTGACACAAACGAATAAAACAAAGAAAAAGAAGAAACCCTCAAATGCAACCACCACCCCGAAGGCCAGTAATAACAACAGCAACAAAGTCCAGAAAGTTGTATCAAAAACACAGCAACAGAATTCCCTACTGCAATTGGCTGCATTGCTCAAAAATAATTCCTCTAACTCGGGCAAAAATTCAACACAAAATAGATTGGAAGCACTGCTGAAATAAGTTCGTTCTTCGTCCATTATTTGTTCACTTGGAAAAGGGTAAGTTCTTTTGTAGTGAAATCTATGTGTTAATGTTGTAGTTACTCAAATGATATGATGATACCTATAATAGATATTATGCATGTTTATATTTCCATGTATATATTATGTTCTGAAATGTTTGCTTGGAAATTTGAAGTTCAAGGAAATTTCTAATAGTAAATTTAAATACCATTTGATAAATCACATTCGAATCGTCGTCCAAGAACACTTCATTTATAAAAATCTTGGTCCTTTACCCATACAAAACATTATTCATTATTTGCTAACATAGTTAAAAAGGCATGTATGCGTATCAATACAGTGTAACTCGTAGAATCTCTAAATCTTCAAAATGGTACTTCTGTAAAAAAATCAAAGGAATTTTAAAATGTTCTACCTTTTTGGCCTTTTAATTTCATTTTTTTGTGTTTTCTCGGATTTCATCGCATTCAGGTGCATTCCCATCTCGGCAGTTCATGTGGTAGGGAGTGTGGCCGATATTTTTATATTTCTTTCCTTGGCAGAGATCGGTAAGTTCTGTGAGATAGAATAAATCGTATGCTGTCAATGATGGGATAGCATGATCTTTAAATAATCCGCAGATATTATAATTTCAATACCGTCTGAAGGCAGTGGAATTTCGGAAAGCTACACCTTTGAGAACTCTCTGTTTCACACAATGGCGTTTGCAATTTTTGTTTCGGAATTCGGAGTACGATTATCGTCGACACAAAACGTTGACTTATATTAGTCCTCTCGACATCTTAAACAGTGTGGCAAAGCTGGCCGTACCAATACCTTTTGATTAGTCTGGAGACACCAACACTGTTGTATGGCACGGTCTGTTTTGACTTAACCAAAATGTTGACGAATGTTCTTTAAATTACTCTGGTCTTGTGTGAATCATAATAGTCGGATATTTTCCCCATTCTTGCCCCGAAAAAGGAATTAATAAATGAAAACCTGTGAAAAAGACAGAAGTATAAAGATGCGACAAGACGGAGTCAAAATATTTTTACCAGGTGTATTCACTTCTGTTATTGGGATATTATAAAAACATGGCTGCTAATGTAAGGGATTTTAACCGCTAAGGCAAATGCAACTATGGAATGAAATTTGAAGCCAAATGTTTGTTTTATTCACACTTTTATTTGTCTTCTGGTTCCATAACTGTATTTATACCCTACGCCACATAGTGGTAAGGGTATTATGTCTTTGTGCATCTGTTTGTTACTTTTGAGGATATTCATAGAATCACTTTCTAAATCGATTTATGAATGTCACTCCGTCGGTCCATGTATTCTTGTGAACAAAATGTCAATCGCATTTATTATCGGATTGAGATGAAATTTTGCAAACATTATTTGTTTGGCCCAAGGACGAACCCAATAGCTCCCATATATACCCAATAGCTCCCATATATAAATATAGCTCCCATATATACCTTCAACCAATTTCGGGTTAATTGTGCACTAAATGGCCAGTATAAGTCCAAATGACCTGAATTCGGGCACATCCGACTGAATTCAGACTAGAAGCAAGTAAATCAATTTCAGGTTCAGATATAGCTATAGCTCCCATATATAGGTTTCATCCGATTTGGTGTTTAAGTCCCCCACATTCGTAATATGCACTCCACAAGAACGAATTTTGGTACCAGATATCATATAGAGCTCGGAAATACCATTGCTAAATGTTATCGAGATCGGCTAAAATTTGGATATAGGTTCCATATATGTATATCTTCAACCGATTTCGGGTTAGTTGTGCACCTAATGACCAAAATCAGTCCAAATGACCTGAATTTTAGTACATCCGACCGAATTCAGTCTAGAAGCAAGTACATCAAATTTGGTGAATATCGGTTCAGATATAGCTATAGATCCCATATGTTTTATCCGATTTGGTGTTTAAGTCCCTCACATTCGTAATGTACACCCCACAAGAATGATATTTGATACCAGATATCAGATACAGTCCAGAAATAGCTTAGCCAAATTTTATCGAGATCGGCTAAGATTTGGTTATAGCTCTCATATATATTTTTCACCGATTTCCGGTTAATTGAGCACAAAATTGCTAATATTTGTCCAAATGACCTGAATTTTGGCACGACCTACCGAATCCAGTTTAGATGTAAGTTCTTCAAATTTGGTGAAAATTGGTTCAGTTACAGCTATAGCTCCCATATATATGTTTCATCCGCTTTGGTGTTTAAGTCCCTCACATTCGTAATATGCATTCGACAGCAATGATATTTGGTACCCGATATCTTATAGTGCTCGGAAATATCTTTGCCAAATTTTATCTGGAACGGATATAGCTCCCATATACATATATCCTTAATCTGATGTCAGATTTTTTTGCAAATAATGGCTAATATCAGCTCAAATGGAGTTAATCTAGGAATGTACGTTTCCATTTTGGTGAACTCGGCTCCGTTATATATTTTTTTAATATAATCTTTCTCGAAATGATATAATGCAGTCTATAGCAATGTTATTTGGTATAAAAGATTAAAATGTCTCTGTCAAATTAAGTGAAAATCGATTCAGAATTGAATATGCTTCCTCAATACTAGTTCCGTCTGAAACCAAATTATAACTGCTCTAAATCCGAATGATCTACTTCAAATAACTTTTTTTTTTGTTAAATAAGCATAGTGTTGTAGGGTATCATATAGTCGGCCCTGTCCAACTTTTGACTTTTCCTTACTGGTTTTACTATTAACATACCCTTGTTAAGAGCTGTTCTACAAACCATTTTCTCAGAATCATTTATATCAAACCTTTACTATTTTATGTCTTTGCCAGTGAGCTTAATTTTAAGGTTGTAATGAAATATGCCATTAAGTTCGAAGCCCTCAACTAATTTTTAAACCATTAATTATTATCAGAATTATTTCTTAAAGTCCCAAAGTAGTATATGCCATCAATGAAGACTTTGAAGGTTTTCTAGAAAGAAGTCCATGGTCAAACAAATAAAACTGATCCAAGAAGTCCTTGTAAAAATGAGAAGAGGAAGGTAAATGTAGTTGTTCTGGTATTCAATTTGCAACTGCATTATCCCAATTTCATTTGACGACACTCCAAATAAGCTTAATGAGCCTTTTCTATGGAATTAAGGAGCGTTCCAAGTAAAACTACATTTATTCTGATCTCAGACATTACCCTTCAATAAAGTTAGGGACATTTTTTTTCTAATTTTCCGACTTTTCTTTGAATTTTTAAAGATATTTCATTAAATAACCTCTAGTAAATTACATTGCCCATAGATGATTCTATTGTCAGATAGTTCCAAAGGTAATGTTTTTTTGATATTCAATCTGCAGATTTTAAAAATAACATTTTCTATTTGACCCTTTTACCGAATACATATTTCAATTCATTATTAATGAAAAATTTTAATATACTTCTTCATATCTAGAATCCTCACAGATCAATTAAGCTATTCAAGCTATTAAAAATACAGTTATAATCGCTTATTCCTCTGGAGAGTTATCCTTCATTTATGGCTATAATAAAACCTATGATCAAGAAAATCAAAAACAACAACAAAAACACTGAGTGGTGATGATGTTGCTTTTAAGCGGCTATTTGTTATTTTGTGTCGGCAAATGTTCATTGGACCATATGTTTTTTTTATTGTACCTATTTCTCTTTTTGCAACACACAATACAGTGCCCATCTTTAGATGCCATTAAAGAAACCAGTTTCAATGAAATCGCATCTACAGTCATTTTTTTTGTGATTCTGTGGCACGCACATGCATTTTATATGCTTCACCATCCCCAGAGAATGTGCGTGCGTGTGTTAAGGAGGTTTGGACTTTCCTTCCTCTATGGGAAAACAACATCCCAAAGAAAGACTTGGTGGAAACCGAACAACCAGCCAACTTTAATTATAAACGTGTTCACTTTAGAGGACAAAGTCAAGGCTATATGGCAATGTACATGTCCATGCATTTTCCACATGAAGAAACATTCGCTGCTTCGGTCTATCTGTCGTCCTGCATATGTGTGCGGTGTCTAATGGCCAACAAGATTTCAATGTGGAGTACAATTTTTTTTTTTGCTCGTGTTGAAGTCACAAAAGGAAATACAACAGCGAAGAAAAAAAATACAAAACAAGTTGCAAATCTATGGCTAATGTTGTTTGCTTCATTTATTTTTCGCTTCATTGACCATTGGCTATGGTCTTGGATTTTGTTTGAAGGGGTCCCAAAAGACGACCATGTTATTATTATTTGCAGCTGTACCACTTTCGTTGTAGGAAGAAGATATTCTTGTTAGTTGTTTTCTGTCTTTATTCTGCTTCTTCTCCGCTTGGGTCAAGTTTCAAATTTCAAGTAACGATTTTGTTGTTCTTTGATTTCAGCCAATTTTTACGCATTTCTTTGTTGGTTGTTTTTTTTTTTTGCAGAGTGGCCAACATATTGCCTATAGACTGAATGATGTGTGTGTATGTGTATGATTAACTTAATTTTTTTGTTTTGTATTTCAGAGTCGTTTCCAGGGATGTGAAGTAATGTTGTTTTGGAACTGTAGCAAAAGTTTTGAATTTAATTCGAGTTAAGCGATAGTATTCTAGGTCGAAACTGATATAATTTGAGGATCGTTGCTAATATAACCACTTTTAGGGATTTTAGGTTTGTAGTTTGGATAAGGTTCAGTGTAGGCCCATTATTTGAAATTTCACACATATTACGATATTTCTGTAAATCGTTTTTTTTTTGTTGGAGCACCTCATACTGCTGTGTTCGTTCTGACTCCTCTCAATCGGGTTCTGAGTCTGTCCAGTCTCAAAAAGGTTGAAACCTGTACGGGTTGGGTCCAAAACGGCACTGGATTTAGGTAAGTAGGTTTGGCTGGGCAGCGAAATAGGTGCAGCGTGTCATGTGGACCTGTGTCATAATCTGGACAAATGTTCTGCACATCGCTGTCAATCCAGGCCCAATAGGTATCGAAGCCGCTGCACCATCCGGATCTTAACTGAGCCAAAACTACTCGGGTTTGTCGA